ATTTCAGATGCAATCTCAATATTTTAAATATTTAAAACAAAATTTGTCTGAAAATTCTGACGGTAATAAACAAATTTGGCTTGCTCAACTACTTAGATGGAAAATGACCGTCAAAAATTTTTCGGTCATTTTTTGGTCAAGTTTTAAAATTTTTTTAATTTAGCTTTTAAATTAAATCGCCATTTAATTCGAAAAATGACCGGCGGTCATTTTTTTTCAGTTGGTCAATTGACGTCAAATGACGAGCAATTGACGAGCATTTGACGAGCACATGCTTTGCTTCACATCACTATGCACGACTCATAATTTAAAGCAAGTTAAATTTTTTTTTTATCTAAATAAATTTTACCTTGATTAAAATTTTTTTATCCAAATTCAAGGCAGTGAAACTCTTTAAAATGATTTAGATCAAAAATTTTCCTCTTGAATCAACTTAATTTTTTTTTTCAGCTAACTATTATTGTTATAAACATGTCTAAGTAAGTGGAACCAACATTTGATCAAATAATTTTTCTTTGGTGCATCACAAAAGACAAATCTAGTAACTTTCACCAAACTGTTGGTCCTCTGTAATTTTTTTCTCCCGCCTAATCTAGGGAATTTTTTAGTTTAATTCCAGGTTTGGCGCCGGTTGCGCTGCTAAACGTTCAATATGTCCGCTAATATCTGACAACAGATTTGTTATTAAATAAATAAATAAATTATTTTATTACAAATTGACTAAAGAAAATATTTAAAATAATAATTTAATTTAAAAATAATGTTACGTTAGACACTAATCATGTACATCAAGCAAGTATGTTTATTTTTTACTTATTATTTATCAACAAACATAACTGTTTGATCAACAAATGACGCTATATATTTTTATTAATTTAATTTCACACCCATTTTGTTATTAAAATCAATAAAAAATATTATTTTCAATCTTTTAATTAATTTTTACCAAAATTAATTCAACAAAATTAATTTCTTAATTTTTTGGTTATGTTTAGGTTATTATCCAAGGTTTTAAATCCTATCGTGAGCAAACGGTCGTTGAACCATTCGATCCTCGTCACAATGTAGTTGGTAAGTAATAATTAAATAATTTCTAATTAAAAAAATTAAAATTAATTATAAAATAATTTATAGTCGGCAGAAATGGATCAGGAAAAAGTAATTTTTTCTACGCGATCCAGTTCGTGCTCAGCGATGAGTTTTCTCACTTACGTCCAGACCAACGTCAAGGTTTACTCCACGAAGGAACGGGTCCCAGAGTAATCTCCGCTCACGTGGAGATAATCTTCGACAATACAGACGGAAGATTGCCAATAGACAAAGAAGAAGTGTACCTTCGCCGCGTAATTGGTGCTAAAAAGGACCAATATTTTTTAAACAAAAAAAATGTTACCCGGAGCGACGTAATGAACCTTCTAGAGTCTGCAGGATTTTCTCGATCAAACCCCTACTATATAGTAAAGCAGGGAAAGATCAACCAGATGGCCACAGCACCTGATTCCCAGCGCTTGAAGCTTCTGAGAGAAGTCGCAGGTACTCGGGTGTACGACGACAGACGTGAGGAGTCCAAAGCAATTTTGAAGGAGACCGAAGGCAAGCTGGAGAAGATCGAAGACTTCTTAAGAACCATCGAGGAGAGACTGCAGACGCTGAAGGAAGAAAAGGAGGAACTTAAGGAGTACCAGAGGTGGGACAAGCAGCGCAGGTGTCTCGAGTATACAATCCACGAGCGAGAGCTCAAAGAGAACAAGCGCAAGCTGGAAGACTTGGAAGCTTCCAGAGCTAACAGTGGCGCTGAGCAAGCTAGGCTTGTTTCTGAGCTGAAGAACTCTCAGGAAAAAGTCCGGACTTCTACCAAGCAGCTTAAGGAGGCCAAGAAGGAGCTCCAGTCTGCTAAAGAAGAAAGAGACACGCTCAGTGCTGAGCAGCAGCAGCTCCTCAAGGAAAAAACTAAGTTAACTTTGACGATTAATGATCTTTTGGAGGAAGTTAAGGGGGATAATGACAGCAAAAAACGCGCTCAGCAGGAATTAGAGAAGCTTAAGGCTACAATTGCGTTAAGAGAGCAAGATCTTGAGAAGATTAAACCAGAGTATGAAGAAATGAAGAGGCGTGAGGAAGAGTATACTAGGATGCTGGCGTTGAAAGAGCAGAAGAGGAAAGAGCTGTATGCTAAGCAAGGAAGAGGGAGTCAGTTTACCAGCAAGGATGACAGAGACAAGTGGATACAGAATGAATTAAAGCAGCTTACTAAGCAGATTAAGGACAAAGAGGAGCATCAGAGAAAAATTAGTGACGATTTGAAAAAAGACGCTGAGAAGCAGAAGGACTTGGAGAAGAAGATTGAGGAGTATACTAAAGAAATGGAGAAGCAGAGGGTTTCTATTGATGATCATAACAAACAGTTCTATGAATTGACTAAATTAAAGGATCAGTGCCAGGCTATGCGCAAGGAAATGTATCGCAAAGAGAGTGTTCTTCAGTTGAACTTATCTGGGCTGAAGGAAGACTTGGCTAAGGCTGATCAGAGCTTGAGGTCCATGGCTGGGAAGCCGATATTGAACGGGAGAGACAGTGTTCGTAAAGTCTTGGAGACTTTCAGGGAAAGACCTGACATGTCTGATGAAGTTAGCAGCTATTACGGTCCCGTTATTGAGAACTTTGATTGTGATAAGGAAGTCTACATGGCTGTAGAGGTGACTGCTGGTAATCGGCTGTTTCATCACATTGTCAAGTCTGATAAATTCGGGACGAAGATTCTCAAAGAAATGAACAACCAGCGTCTGCCTGGGGAAGTTACATTCATGCCGTTGAACCGTTTGCATGTCAGGACTCAGAATTATCCCCAGACTAGTGATGCAATTGCTATGATATCTAAGTTGAGGTATGATCCTAAGTATGACTTGGCGATGAGGTATATTTTCGGGAAGACTTTAATCTGCCGGAATTTGGAAGTCGCTACCAATTTAGCGAGAGAGTCGGGGCTGGATTGTGTTACGTTGGAGGGAGATCAGGTTTCTTCCAAGGGGTCGTTGACTGGAGGGTACTTTAATACGCTGAGGTCTAGGTTGGAGATCCAGAAGAATAGGTCGGAGCTGATGGCGCAGATTAATACTATGGAGTCAGACTTGGCGACGTTGAGGGAAGATATTAGGAAAGCAGATACTAATATCAGCACTTATGTGACTGAAATGCAGAGGACAGAGACGAAAAATAGCAAAGCTAAGGATATTTATGATAAAATGAAGGCAGAGATTCGGCTGATGAAGGAAGAGTTGAGTGCTATTGAGAGGTACAGGACTCCTAAAGAGAGGAGCTTGAATCAGTGTACTTCTAATTTGGAAGCGATGAGAGCTACTAAGGAGGGACTTGAAAGTGAGCTTCATCAAGATTTAATGGCTCAATTGTCCGTCGCGGATCAGCATCAGGTTGATACTCTGAATGATGAAATTAGAACGCTGACGAAGGAGAATAAGGAGACTTTTGCTAAGAGGATGAGGTTGGAAGCGGAGAAGAATAAGTTGGAGAATTTGCTGACGAATAATTTGCACAGGCGTAAGGATGAATTGGTTCAGGCGCTGCAGGAAATTTCTGTTGAAGATAGGCAGAGACAGCTGGAGTCTTCTAAGGCTCAGTTGGCTGAGATTGAGAAACGTCTTGTTAAAGTTAACAGTGATTTTAAGACCCAGAATGACAAAGTGGGCGCTGCTTCGAAGAGACAGAAAGCGGAGGCGAGTAAAGTAGAGGAGTGGAAGGCAAAAGAGAAGGAGATCCAGGAGAAAATAGAGTCTGATTCTAAAGACTTGGAGAAATTGACGATTAAGAAGAATATGTTTGAGCAGAAGATTACTGACTGTACGCAAAAAATTACTGAGTTAGGCGCGCTGCCTAGTCATGATGCTTATGAAAAATTGCAAAATATGTCTACAAAGCAGTTGTTTAAAGAGATGGAGAAGGCTAATAATCAGCTGAAGAAGTACAGCCATGTTAATAAGAAGGCTTTGGATCAATTTATGTCTTTTAGTGATCAGAAAGAGAAACTGGTAAAGAGGAAAGAGGAATTAGATCGGGGAGATGAGAAGATCAAGGAGCTGATGAATGTCCTCGAGCAGCGCAAGTGTGAAGCTATTCAGTTCACTTTCAAGCAAGTGAGCAAGTACTTCAGTGAAGTTTTCAAAAAATTAGTGCCTTCTGGTCATGCTCAGCTGGTCATGAGGACTGCTGATGGGGAGGAAGGAGGTGAAGATGTTGCCTCGGCTGCTGCGGATTCTGATAGGTTTATTGGAGTGGGGATCAGGGTGTCTTTTACGGGGCTCAAGGCGGAGATGAGGGAGATGAATCAGCTTTCTGGGGGGCAGAAGTCTCTGGTTGCCTTGGCGCTGATTTTTGCCATTCAGAAGTGCGATCCGGCGCCGTTTTATCTGTTTGATGAAATTGATCAGGCTCTTGATGCGCAGCATAGAAAGGCTGTCGCTGATATGATTCATGAATTGAGCTCTGATGCACAGTTTATTACTACTACTTTCAGGTAGGTTTTTTTTTTAACTATAAATAAATGATTTTGCTTTATTAAAGAATGATTTTTGTTAAATTGCACTGTACTTGATTAAATATTGACGTTTTTTAATATATAAGCTCATCTTGGTGTAACACTCATCAAGAGCTTTCATTTGACTACCCACATGCATTTTTGATATATTTTTCATATATACACATATATAAATATATGTGAAATATATGAAAAATTGATGTGGGTACTCAAATGAAAGGTCTCGATGAGTGTAATATCAAGGTGAGCTTTTATGTCTTTAAAAATGATGACACTGAAGTTAGCAGACGTCTAAAAATTTTTGATTTTTTTTTTTTTTAATTAAATTACATACAACTAAAAAGATATTTATAATAAATTGCACTTATAGTTCTTCAAGTTTTTAACATGTGATATTTTTTTTTTTAATTGTTTAACTGAAATTTTTTAATTATGTATCTAGAGATGGAGCATTTTCGAATGCAGTCTAAATACTTATCCTTATAATAAACTTTTATTTTAATTTTCAGACCTGAATTACTTCAACATGCTAATAAATTCTATGGTGTTAAATTCCGCAACAAAGTTTCGCATGTTGAATGTGTCACCCGCGAAGAAGCTGCTGACTTTGTGGAAGACGACACAACCCACGGATAAATCTTATATTTATTACTATAACTAACATATAAAAACAAACTTCTTACAAATACAAAAAAAAAAAAAAAAAAAAAAACTACTTATTAAAAGAAGATTTCTATCATTTCCGCTAGATATTTTTATTATAATTATAAGTACTTTTAAATAGTAGTAGGTTTCAGATATAAATGTAAACAAAAAAAAATAAATCTTTATACAAATTACTGATTATTATTGAATTATGTATAATAAAATTTGTGTTTTAAGAATTAATGGCCAGTTTTTCAATGCGAGATAAAATTATCCAGGATTAAATTTTTATCTAATATTGAAAAATTGGCCCTAAATGCGTATAAATAATCAAATATCAGCGGGTGGCTACTTGTCTTTGCGTTGAGCCACAAGGCTATCGTGTAAGCTAGCTATGAAGTTGTCCACGAGGTCGAGGCACACCACCCCGTTGACGTCGATGAAATTCGCGACGGACTTGATCACTGTAGCCTCGTTTACTGAACCAGTAGCCTCATTTTTCACAGAGAAAGTTAAGTTGTACTTGTCATCGTACTTCTTGAGGTACGAGCTCGCTTCCCAGACGTAGTCGGGGTCAAAGCCAGCTGGATCTCTTTAAATATAATTAATAATAATAACAATAAAATTAGCCGACGTTAAACAATTTTTTTATTTTTTATGTGTAAAATTGTCTTATAGTTAAAATTATAAAAATTTTTAAATGTCGACTAATTTAATTTTAAATAATTAAAAAAAATAATAATACCTTTGAACAGCAACGACAAATATTCCTTTTTCTTTGTAAGTAGTATAAATATGAAGAATAGTCATCAGAACGAAGTAAGCAGAAACTCCCATCACCAAGACATGTCTCGACGCCGGGAAAGGATGGAACCAGTCCCAGAAGAGCGCAACTCCAGCAACTCCAACAGCAATACCACAAATAGCTAGACGGATGTCAAGCAGGGTGAAATTTTCAATGTAATTGTATTTTTTAGTTAATACTTCTTTAACAGCATCATCCAGTGCGTTTTTCACAGCTGCTCCATCCCATTTGTTTATTTTTATCTGAAAATTTAATTAAAATTGACAGTGATAATTTTTTTTGACAGCTGATTTATTTCTTCTTTTTACAAAAATATTAAAAATAAAATAAATAATTTATTAATATTCTTACCGGCTCATCTTTCTGATCCTTTTTTGAAGCCATTTCGACCATAATAATATATACGTGATAATCTGCTTAATAATTACTTAAACAATAGGTTAGGTACACGTCAATTGAAATATATATATATATAAATTGGGGACGTAGCAAATAAATTTTATTATAAAGCGAACTTAGTCGATGTTTCACGAAGTAAATATCTGTGGCGGTACTGTCAGCGCGGTCACGCCTCTAGTGGTAGACCCGCAACTAAAAACGCCTCAACACCGCCAAGCGGCAACAACTGGGAGCACTCAACGTACTGTAGATCACACACGGACACACACAAATAAATCGCTCAAGATACCACCACAGCTGTGGCATCCAAATAATCTAATTAATCCAATTAAAGTTTATTAAATAATAATTAATTATTTAAATATATTTTGTTGACTAATAAATAATAATAATAATCGTATCACTTTGGTCTAGTAATTTTTAGTATAGTGTATTCCCTTTGAATCCACATATCCCGGACGACTGAGACATCTTCAGGTCGATAAAAGAGTTAGGACCATGTGGATACTATGTACATATAATATGTGGTAATGAAAATTAATATTTATTTTTGTTAGATTATTTAATTATAAAATTTATTAATTGGTCTATTGTTTGTAATAAAGGTAATTTATATTATTAGAATTGTTAGTGACTTGATCAGCTGATTTTAATGATTTTTTTTTTAATTTATAACAAGGAGATTAAATGAGTAAAATAATGGGTGTTATTATGTCGAGGCTATCAAAGCCAGCTAAAGCTTTTAATATTGAAAATAGAGCTGCGAAAATTTTAGAAAGAGAAAAACCAATACCTGCTCCACCTCATCCATCTACTGCTCAGCAATTAAAGATTTCTCGAGAAGGTAAATTAAATTATTGGTTTATTCACTTGTCATTTTATTATTATGACAATTCATGAGTAATTGTTGTTTATTTGCAGTTGATCCTAATTTTTTGGAGAATCATTATAAAAAAGATGAAGAATTGTATGACAGATTGAAACAAGTGTTTGTTTCTTCACACATTGAACATGTAATTAATTATAATTAATTTTTTATTGGGTTGGTTTGTAAGAATTTTATTTATTTATTTATTTATTGAGAAATTTTTGATATTTTTTCTAGAAAATTATTGATCAAGAGTCTGAAGCAAAAAAGCCGAAGAATAAAAAATGGTCTCAAGATTTTGAATACGGCTTTTGGGAACCTGAAAAAATACCAGAGGGTAGGTGTCAATTGAAGACAGCATTGCAATTTATGGCTGACTATCAAGCAGACTCGAAAAAAAATTCTATTGAAAGTATAGCGATGAAATATAAACTGGACCCGGCTGATGTCAGTAAGTACTCAATTTTATCATTTTTAATTAAAATAAAAAATTATATAATTATAAAATAATATTTTTATTAATTTGTGTGTTATAGAGAATATTATTAAGTACTACAGAGTATTCCAAGTAGTCCAGCCGAAGGATAGTAAGATGTTCGTACCAAGAGAAGATGCAAAACCGCTGATAGAAGAAAAATAATTCAATGAATATTCAAGTCCAACATTAGATTATTTAAAATGTTTGCTTTGGTATTAAAATTATGAAAATGACTGTAAATATTTATTAATAAAAATAATAGATAGATAAAATTTTTATCAGTAAATGGTGGGTTTTTATAGTACGAAATTTAAGAGATATTTGACAATTTTTAGGATTTTTAAAAGAAATAAATTAAAATAAATTTATCTTATAATTTCCAGAATTTTTTTCAACTAGAAAATTATAAAAAAAAGTCATTTTAAAAATTATTTAATTTACAAAAATTAATTAAGGAGATATTTAATGATTTTTTTTTAACAAATAATTGATAAAAAAATTGACAGAAGTTTTAAAAACTAAAGCAATTTTTTTTAAATAATAATTTAAGAACAAATTTGTTTATTAAATAAAATTTAACATTAAAGTTAGCAGATACTTGACTATTTTTTAATTTTATTTAACAAAAAAATTTTTTCCAAAAAATAATTTTTAAAAAATTGCATTTAAAATTTTTACATGTCAGATTTTTTTTTTCAATAATTTATTTGATACAAAGATGATTAAAATTATCAAAATTAATTTTTATTCATTAAATTAAAAAATTGTTAAGTGACAGCTAACGTTAATATTTCATAAATTATTTACAAATAAAAAGAAATACATACGTATCTTAGACATTTAAATATTACCGCTGGTATTGAAAAAAAAAACAAAAAAAACTAGGCTTGTCCGGCTGCACCCAGCACCCAGCTGTATGTACATATAAGTCCTCGTGCACATGTGGAAGAGTTCCAAAAGAATCCGCCAATAAAAATTGAGAGTCAAACAACCAACCAATACGCAGTCAGATCCAAAAGTTGACTGCTGTGTGTGACAGACAAATTGTGCAGTAGTAGCAATCTCACGCTATTTGATACCTTATATAGAAACTAAAATAAGTATTTTATTATATTTCACAAAATAATATCAAAAACTCATTAAAAAATGTCCGGGGTAACAAGTGCGTTGGCCGTTGCTGGTCAAAGACAATCTGGAGCTCCAGTTCGTTCTCAAAATGGTAATTATTTTTTATTAATAGCGTATAACCTAAAACTCAAAACCCGGCACGTTTTCATTTACAAAAAATAATTAATCCTTTATTTTATTAATTATCTTCTCAAAAATTATTATGAAGATTTTTTCACCCATTCAAATTTTTTTATTTCAGTTATGGCCGTTTGTGCTATCGCTAACATTGTTAAAAGCTCCCTTGGTCCAGTTGGTCTCGACAAAATGCTCGTTGATGACATTGGAGTAAGTTTTCACCCAAAATAATTAATATGATGTTTTTTATAAATTTTTTAATTAAAAAATTATAACAAGAAAAATTTATTTAAAAAATTATTATATTGAAAAATAATACTAAAGTTAGTTGAGATTTTTAATTTTTTTAATTTATTTAATTGAAACAAAAACAAATTTTCTTCAAAATTTCACTTAAAGTTTTTGAAAAATTAATTTTTTTTAATAATTTGCTCAATAAAAAAATTATAAAAATTTTTAGATGGCAGCTAATATAATTTTCATCATTAAAATTGACAGACAATTGACAATTTTTCTTGAATAATAAACTAAGTTTAAAAAATTGTAATTATAATTTTTTAAAGCTTCTAAAAATGGAATTTTTTAAATAAATTTTTCTTGTTAAAGTTTTAGCTGATATCTGAAAATTTTTTATAAAATTTTATTAAAGTACTTTTCTTATTTGTAATTTAATTCTTAACAAAAAATTGAAAATTGTTAAATTTCAGCTTATTTAAGCATCAATAATTTCAGTATTATCAAAAATTCCATCTTTGAGCTCTAAAAAATTGTAAATGTAATTAAAAAAAAAAAAATTTTTTCATACCTGATCTATTATCCAATAAAAATAAAAATTGTCAAGTGTTTTCAATTTCAATATCATTAATTAAAAATTTTTTTTAAAACAATTATTTATAAATAAAATGTTGATAATAATTAATAATAATAATAATTAGGATGTGACTGTAACCAACGATGGAGCGACAATTCTCCGTCTTTTGGAAGTAGAGCACCCAGCTTCGCGTATCCTTGTCGAATTAGCGCAGTTGCAAGACACTGAAGTAGGCGACGGTACCACCTCAGTGGTGATAATCGCCGCAGAATTACTGAAGAACGCGGACGAGCTTGTAAAGCAAAAGATCCACCCGACTACAGTGATCAGCGGGTACAGATTAGCATGCAAAGAAGCTTGCAAGTACATCCAGGAGCACTTGACAGTAAGCGTTGAGGAGCTGGGCAGAGATTGTCTTGTGAACGTCGCAAAGACTTCCATGTCGAGTAAGATCATCGGAGCCGATGCAAACTTCTTCGGCAACATGGTAGTTGACGCAGCGAACGCTGTGAAGATTAACGACGGCAAGGGAGGACACATGTACCCGATCAAGGCAGTGAATGTCCTTAAAGCTCACGGAAAGAGCGCCCGGGAGTCAATCCTGGTCCAAGGATACGCTCTTAACTGCACAGTAGCTTCCCAAGCCATGCCTAAAAAAATCGTCAACGCCAAGATCGCTTGCTTGGACTTCTCCCTCCAGAAAGCTAAGATGAAGTTGGGTGTTGAGGTTCTGATCACTGATCCAGAGAAGCTCGAGTCTGTGAGACAGCGTGAGATGGACATCACCAAGGAGCGCATCCAGAAGATCCTCAATGCTGGAGCCAACGTCATCTTGCTATCTGGAGGTATTGATGACTTGTGTCTGAAGTACTTCGTTGAAGCTGGAGCTATGGCTGTTAGGAGGTGCAAGAAGACTGACCTAAAGCGTGTCGCTAAAGCTACTGGTGCTCACTTCTTGACTTCATTGACCAACATGGAGGGAGATGAAACTTTCGAGGCGAGTTTTCTTGGAGAAGCTGCTGAGGTTGTTCAAGATGTCATCTGCGATGATGAACTTCTTCTTATTAAAGGGTAATTTTGATTTTTTTTTTTTTTTTTTAATGTTATGTTTATTTTATTAAGGTTTGATGACTGAATTCATTTTTTTGCAGACCTAAAGCCAGAACCGCAGCGTCAATTATTCTTCGTGGGCCTAATGACTTTTACTGCGATGAAATGGAGCGTTCTATTCATGACGCTTTGTGTGTTGTCAAGCGAGTTCTGGAGAGCAAGACTGTTGTTGCTGGTGGAGGATGTGTTGAAGCTGCACTTTCCATTTATTTGGAAAATTTCGCAACTTCATTGGTAATTTTTTTTTCCTCTATTTCTAGATACATAATTAAGAAATTACCTTTACTTGTATCTTGTAAAATATTGACATTATTGAAGATATAAGCTCATTCCGATATTATACTCATTGAGACCTTTCATTTGAGTACCCACATCAATTTTTCATATATTTATATATATTATATATATGTATATATGAAAAATATATCAAAAATGCTTGTGGGTATTCAAATGAAAGCTCTTGATGAGTGTAACATCGGGATGGGCTTATATCTTTAAAAATGTCAATATTTAAGAAATTATAGTGCAATTTAACAAAATTCATTATTTAATTAAGCAAAATTTTATTTACTTATATTTCATAAGTCACGGCAGTCACACACATAGTGACTGCAAGGTCGCTAGTATTAACTTATTTAAAGATTAAATTACATTTTTATAGAGCTCACGGGAACAACTAGCCATTGCTGAATTCGCTCGGTCATTATTGGTGATTCCAAAAACACTTGCCGTTAATGCTGCACAAGATTCGACAGATCTTGTTGCTAAATTGAGAGCTTACCACAACTCCAGCCAGACGACTGTTGACCATGCTAATCTTAAATGGTAATTACATAAATTTTTAGTAATTAAATTAGTTGATAAAAAAAAAAAAAAAAAAAAAAAAAAAACATTTGGTATGTAATTTAACAATGAAATTTTTACAGGGTGGGTCTTGATTTAATTGAGGGAACCGTAAAAGACAATAAAAAAGCCGGAGTACTCGAACCCGCTATTTCAAAAATAAAATCCTTGAAATTCGCCACTGAAGCTGCTATCACAATCCTCCGAATCGACGACATGATCAAATTGGACCCAGAGCAGAAGCAAGGAAAGTCATACGGTGACGCTATGGCTGCTGGAGAGTTGGAGGGTTAATTTTCAAGATTTCATTATTTTAAATAAAATATCCTACTCACAATAATTTATAAAAATAAAAATTGATATAAATAAATGTATTTCATACTATTTATTTATATTAATAATAAAATCTTGAATTTTTATAAATAATGTCTCAATTCGTTTTTTTTTGTTGCAATTCCATTTTTAACATAAAATTTCTACTAAGAAATTTTATTCGTATTTTTTTTAATCAAACAAATTAAGTTTATCAATTTATACATAAACTTTTTACGAAGCATGAATAATATGAAATAATTGTTTATTAAAAATATTTTATAGGAATAAGAATCACTAATAAAGCTTTTTCACGAAACTTAATTTCATTTTGATTTTTTATTTTAATATACCTCTTCCACATTTTGTCCACCATAGAAAAAGAAAAACAATAAGTTTGTTATTTTTTTTTTATCTTTTTATCCATAATATATTACATATATATTTTTTAAACTGTATATACTACAGGATAACTGTCCTATTTATTTAAAATAGTTTACACTTTTCCATTCATTAATCAGTTGCTCCTTATAAACCGTTTAATTCAAATTTAATGACGGTAGTTACTTACATGAAATGATTTGTAAAACATAATAATTTTTTATCTCATATTACCAAAACATATATGTCACTTTTCAATTTTTAAATAAAAATTATGATTTTTAAGATGAAAAAATTAAAAATTTTTTTTTTTGTTTTATTTCTATTGAGATTGACACTCGGTAATTAATAATGATGAGATTTTTAGCGTACATGACATTTTATCATCCATACAACAATATCACACTGCTTTCTTACAGCATACAGAAAACAACACAATAGGATTTGCTTTTTTACATATGATGATGAAATGCTCAAGGCCATTATACTTTACAATCACAATCATAACATAGTCTTTTGTTGAACAACACCCAATTAATTAAATAATAGTCATTAATATTATTATTATCATTTTCATTCATTATTTTTAAATTTTGTCTGGGGCTTCTTCAACAAAAATCGGTAATTATTTACAAGTAGGGTCAAATTCATTTTTGGCCATAAATAAATAAAAAATTAATATTAAAAAAAAATTTTTTTTTGCCTTCAAAAGTTGGAAAAAATTTTGGCTCTTTTGGATAAAATTTTTATTTAATTTTTTTTTGGATGTATGTATTTTTTTTTTTAATACATAAAAAAAACAAATAATTAAAAAAAAATTAAATATCACAATTTTCTAAAAAATTTATAAATTTTTTAAAATTGTGATAATCAATTTTTTTTTAAATTGTTGATTTTTTATGTATTAAAAAAAAAATATATCAATAAAATCAAATAAAAATTTGATTAAAAAAATGAAAATTAAAATGTTTGACCCCATCTGTAAATATTTACCCAAAAAAATTTCCCACCGATAAATATTTTTTTTTTTTTTTTTTTTTTTTTAAAAAAAAAAAAAAAAATTGT